CCCCTTTGCTTCCCTGAGCCCCCTGTTCCAGCCCATGTCTTGTCTTTCAGCATCCCTTGAATATCAGGCTCGGATTAAATGCCAAGCTCCAAGTCCAGCTAGGTGCTAGTGCCAGGGCTGGATGTGTGGTCTGAGGGGCTGCGGCTGACCTTCTGTTTCCGAGATTAACAAGAAGCCCCCCTCCTCTTTTTCTCATCAGTCATACACATAACACACAGCTAGCATAGATTGCTTTTCCTTCCTTGCTAATTATATCCTTCTCAGTGAAGCCTTTTTTTTTTTCTGAACATTATTTTTCTGTATCTATATTGGAAAGCCATATAGTCCCTTTTTCTTTTTGAATGTAAAATTTTACTTTAATGTTGGAATATGCATTAAAAAAAAACTCTGGGATACTTTAATAATCCCCATCCCTCCCAGATTAAGACTCAGGGCTCTGGCCCCTTTTTATTTGAGGCTTCATTCACTTACATGGGCACAGATCCTTCTCTTCCAAGAAGGGAAGGTGATACACTTTTACATTTGTCCTGACTCTCTTGCAGACCTTACTCCTGTAATGTTAAACACACCTTAGACTTTTTGCTTCAGTGAGTCTTCTGTTTCTTCAGCTTATCATGCCTAAAACAGAATTCATTATCACCCTCATTCCAGATCCATCTCCCAGCTTCATCCCACCTTCCTGTTTCTGACAGTGTGTCTCTCAGTCTGCCATCCGTTCCTCCTCTGAAGCATCTCATCGGTCACCCAAAGCCTGTTGAATCCTTTTCCCCTTTTCCTTCGTGCTGCCTCGACACTAATTTCGGCCCTCTGCCTATGACAGATCTCTGTGCCTCTGTCTTTTTTCTCTCTAATCCATCCTGTCCACACCATTGCCAGTGCAATCTTCCTCAACGTCATTTTCCCTAGGGCATTCTCCTGCCGTGAGCCCTCGGTGTCTCCCATCAGCTGCAAGATCAAGTCTTTTCTCCTTAACCTGGAAACTCCAGGCCTTCATACAATGGTCCTTAAGATCACCTCTCACTTCCTCCTTCTGTGAACCATTTGTATGTGTTCATTGTTATTTTTACAGCATCTATTGCATACCCACCATGTGCCTGGCAGTGTCCTAGGTGTTCCGGAAAGGCGACAGGAAAATCCTTACAAAAGCAATTAGTGGTCTTGGGAGCTAGTGGTGTTGCCTGGAATGTCCTTCATCACTCTCAATCCTAAACCATCTTCCAAGATGTATTTTAAATCCCACTTCCTCCAGAAACTTGCTGCACACCCAGGGCCCTTCTCACAGTCCTTACACATCTTATTATCTGAATCAATCGTTTGACACTCACCCATCATTCATTCCTCATTCACTCACAAAAACATACTGAGCACCTACTGTGTGTCAGACACTGTGCTTCATGTTGTCTCACAAATCAGTATATATTTACAGCCTAAAAATAACAACAATAACTCTTATGTAGCCCTTAGCATGTACAGGTGCTGCTTTACATACTTCCGTTTATTTAATCTTCAAACCAAGCTTTGGGTTTGGCGTGGTAATTATCCAAATTTTACAGATGGGAAGTCAAGGAACAGAGATATTTAGCAACTTTGCTGGTGTCACAAACTAGAAAATAACAAAGGTGGGATTCAAATCTGAAGTCCTTGGTCTTAACCCCTATCCTTCATTGTCAGGTACCACTATGTGTATATGTGTCTATATATGACGTGTACGTGTGTGTAAGTATAAACATACATGCACATACCTTCCCAGTTAGACTCTAAACTCTTAGAGGTTGGCAGCTCTGTACCACACTTGCTTGCATCTCCCCACCTTATGCAGTGTTTATACACAGTAGGTACTGGAGTCGTTTGTTTGACTGTCATTTCTTCCATTCTCTTGGTGAGGACTTGAGGTCTTTTTACAGCAAGTAGAAGTGTTTGGGAGTGGAAGGAAGGGGAGAAACAGAATTTCATAATAGACCTACACTCTCTGAAATTCCTGGTTTCAAGTTCTTAACTCTGTAATCTTCGGGTGTAGATTTGTATAAGAGAAGATACTAATATAAAAGCTTGTGAAAGTGGATTAAAATCTCCTCAAAAAGCAAAATAAAACTCAAACCATGTTATGGTTACTGTTTTCTCTCCCGTCTTGTGCTGTTTCCTGTTACACTTGCTTCTGTCTGTTTTGCTTTGTTGCCTACAACACATCAGGATCCCAGAGTTACATTCCTGGCCTAATTTTTCTAGTTCAGGTTTTTTATAAGTTGAAAAATATGTACATTTTATTTGAATCACAAGACTGCAACTACATATGTAGCTTAATAAAACCTGATAAGTACATATTTAAATTTGAAAAACACAGGTGGTGGATATTTGAGTTTTAAAAGGATTCCTTCTTTTACCGAAGGATCTATTGTAGGATTCCATTAAATATCCAGTTCCTCTTAGTGCATTTATCACACAGTTTAATTGAACAAAATTTGATTTATATGTCACTCTGAAGGGGTAGCTCGCAAGTTCTACTGAGCATGAGAATCACTAGTGCAACTTATTTAAAATTCAGATCCTTCCCCAACTCCTCCCTGAGATTCTGACTCATTCGGACTTGGGTGGGGTCCAGGAACATCACTGTTAGCAAGTATCCCCAGGTGGGTGTTTAACGCAGGTGGTTAGTGAAATGTGCTCTGGAAACACAGCTTTAAAGAAGCACATGTGGTACACAAATGGGGCTGAGTTTCAGGGGCTCCTCCCGCGCCTCGAATACCCTCTCGCTATCAGGCGTCCCATTTCCTCTTCAATTGCAGGTGTAAAATATTGGTCCTTTCATTTTAAAAATATCTCCCCCGTGGATACATGTGTATGTATGGCTGAGTCCCTTTGGTGTCCACTTAAGTCCATTAACATTGTTAATCTGCTCTGCCGCTGCTGCTAAGTTGCTTCAGCCGTGTCCGACTCTGTGCGACCCCAAAGACGGCAGCCCACCAGGCTCCCCCGTCCCTGGGATTCTCCAGGCAAGAGCACTGGAGTGGGTTGCCATTTCCTTCTCCAGCGCATGAAAGTGAAAAGTGAAAGTGAAGCCGCTCAGTCGTGTCCAACTCTTAGCGACCCCATGGACTGTGGCCTGCCAGGCTTTTCCGTCCATGGGATTTTCCAGGCAAGAGTACTGGAGTGGGGTGCCATTACCTTCTCCGTAATCTGCTCGACTTCAATATAAAATAAAAGGGTTAAATGGTAAACAAACAACAAAAGAAGTCCCATTTAACAGAATAAAAAATAAAGAAAAATATCTCCCCCGGCTTTATTGAGATAATTGGCATACAACATTGTGTAAACTTAACATGAATTGTGTTAATTAGATACACTTACATGTTGCAAACACCTTCATTTCATCATTTCATCACATAGTTACCATTTCTTTTTTATGGTGAAGATGTTTAAGATCTACTCTCTAGCATTTATACTTCAAGTGGATAATATAGTAGTATTGCCCTTTTATTTTTAACCCCCATCTTAGGGATCTCTTTAGATCTTTCTTATTCTCATTTCTTAATGGTGACATCTCTCCTGTGAATTCACACACCTGTTCTCTTCCGACTCCTCCTTCCACATGCCCCACCTCTCTGCCTCAGACTCTCCCTCTTAGTATGCATGATCTGGATGCTGAAGTCTATGGCTTGGTCCAGAAACTCCAGGCATTTTATGAACAGTCACTTCTGCCAAGGTTTCTTAGTCAAATCTAGTGCCCTTTCTTCTTTATTATTATCCCCTCCCAAAAAAGACTAATAGTTAATTTTTTAAATATACATATTATGAGAATGACTTGCTTTGGCATGATTCCATTCCTCCATGAGTACTAATATCCCAGGCCTTGAGAAATGAATGTCAGAAATGTGCATTTAAAATATGTCTATAGCTTAATGAAATTTGTTGTAAAAATGCCTCCATGACATTTATGGCACATGGTGTATCTATGTGTTTAATATATCATTGATCTTTAAAATTCAGTTGCTTGACCCATATTTTGCCTCTGATTACTTCTCTAAATCTCTAGTAATCTCCAAAAACATTTAGAGATTTCCATATTTTAGAGATTTTTCTCCTTTATTAATCCCCTATATCCCTGAATTTTACTCTGGGGAAAGGATCTCCAAATATCTCCAGCAATAATAAAAGCAATAGAAGAGCAGATAGCCAGCACAGTTGGCTACTGGTTGGAAATCTTTTCTTTTAATAGGTTTATCAGGGCTTATGCTTTCCCTTGAAGTAATGAGTTCTTAAGAGCCTTGTTTGACTTCCATAAGAACATAGCGAGAGGTTGTGCTATTTATTGGGACTTTGTGTACCTTCTTTAATCCATTCAGTGCTTAACTAGGCCTCTGTGACCAAACATGAGGGTCTTTCTAGGAAAAGTTGGTGCTGGAGGGGAGGGGTGTGGTCGTCACTGGACGAAGGCCAGGATCATACGGAGATGTTTCAGCCTGTCTAACTCTTGAAAGCAGACACCCATGTGGTATGTTCAGTGTGGTTCAGGTTTTGTAGAAAAGACTACTGTATCTAGGGTGGACAATGTTGGATGGTAAACTCCGGATGTGAGATTACAACTGACTTTTTTCCCTTCTGAATTTTCCGAAGTTTCTACAGTGATCATGTATTACTTACTATTGCAAGCGATCTAGAAGAAAGAAAGAAACCTACTTTGCCCACATCTGTAGTCTCTTTCCCAAGGGACGTAATCTCTCGTAGATTTGTCTCAAATCCTACCTTTTGCATAGATAAGTGGCGATGTGGCCCGCAGGTTCAGCAAACAAAAGACTGTCCTTGAACTGGACGGCCCCCGACACCCTGCCCTGTGTCTCAGGGCTCGCTGCATGCTCCTGAGCAAGTGTGGATGCCCCTGCCACTCCTTCTGCTCGGGCATTAAGAGGCGATGGGCTTCCATATGGGATTCTAACTTTGTCTTCTTTCTTTTCTCCTTCCCCTCCCCCGTCCCCCTCCTATCCTCCCCTCTCCTCCTCCTCAAGGCCTCTCCCACCTCATGATGAGTGAACAAGGTAGGTGCTCTGGGCTCACGGTGCTGCAGCTGCCTGGATTGCTTGCCTTCGTGCCTCTGGCTGGTCGCTGAGAGCCCGCTTCATCCCTGGCAGGCCGTTTGCTGCCTGTCCCTCCTGCCAGGGGCCAGGCTGGGAGCCGGGCCATCCTGCGGTGGGGCAGAGTGGGGGGCACCTTTCCCATCGCATTGTGGCTCCCCCTGCCCCCCATCACCCCCTTGGCTTCTCCATTCCACTCCACCATTTGTCATCCTGGGCGCTGGCCCTGCTGGGCTGCCTCCCAGGGAGAAGCATGAAACAAGCCATGACGGTGTCGATAATGGGGGTGAATGAAGCTAATTTCAGAGCACCAGAGCGGTTAACTTCTTCCCTAAGCCTCAACTGTATCTAGGGTGGACAATGTTGGATGGTAAACTCCGGATGTGAGATTACAACTGACTTTTTTCCCTTCTGAATTTTCCGAAGTTTCTACAGTGATCATGTATTACTTACTATTGCAAGCGATCTAGAAGAAAGAAAGAAACCTACTTTGCCCACATCTGTAGTCTCTTTCCCAAGGGATGTAATCTCTCGTAGATTTGTCTCAAATCCTACCTTTTGCATAGATAAGTGGCGATGTGGCCCGCAGGTTCAGCAAACAAAAGACTGTCCTTGAACTGGACGGCCCCCGACACCCTGCCCTATGTCTCAGGGCTCGCTGCATGCTCCTGAGCAAGTGTGGATGCCCCTGCCACTCCTTCTGCTCGGGCATTAAGAGGTGATGGGCTTCCATATGGGATTCTAACTTTGTCTTCTTTCTTTTCTCCTTCTCCTCCCCCGTCCCCCTCCTCTCCTCCCCTCTCCTCCTCCTCAAGGCCTCTCCCACCTCATGATGAGTGAACAAGGTAGGTGCTCTGGGCTCACGGTGCTGCAGCTGCCTGGATTGCTTGCCTTCGTGCCTCTGGCTGGTCGCTGAGAGCCCGCTTCATCCCTGGCAGGCCGTTTGCTGCCTGTCCCTCCTGCCAGGGGCCAGGCTGGGAGCCGGGCCATCCTGCGGTGGGGCAGAGTGGGGGGCACCTTTCCCATCGCATTGTGGCTCCCCCTGCCCCCCATCACCCCCTTGGCTTCTCCATTCCACTCCACCATTTGTCATCCTGGGCGCTGGCCCTGCTGGGCTGCCTCCCAGGGAGAAGCATGAAACAAGCCATGACGGTGTCGATAATGGGGGTGAATGAAGCTAATTTCAGAGCACCAGAGCGGTTAACTTCTTCCCTAAGCCTCACGCTGGGGCCCCAGGTTGGGGGAGACACGCTGGGCTTCTCTGAATTTCACTCCGAGTCAAGGTTTGATTTTTGTCTTCCCCTCCATCCCCCTGCCCATTGTAATGACTTTCAGCCCCAGCCGTCCCCCCACCCCACCTCCAGTGGTCAAAGGAAGCCCTTGGGGGTTTGACTGTTTTCAGTTTTGTATAAAAGCAAAAACCACTGAAAGAACATGCTAATGTCCTGATGGCAGGGTTCTAACTCATTATACACCCTGAAGAAAACTGCATATAAAGATCTGTAAATTCCGCATCTGCAACCTAAAATATTCAATTATGCAGGGAATGAACTGTGCAGGAAATTCAGCTCAGCTAAGCACAGGGTGGGTTGTGAATGAAGCCTTTTCCTCCTAAATAAAAATTTTCCATATTATCAGCCTAAATCAGGATTCAAGAACTGAGCCTACTTCAAATTGTCTTTTTTGTCACTGTTCAATTGCTACTATTGTGTTTCTTCTGCGTTTTGGGGTGATTGCAAGATTGGTCTACCTGGCCTGGCCCTGACACCGAAATACTGTACTTTAACTTCTCTGTCTGTTCTTTTCAAAATACACACGGGACTCAGAGCCTTTGTTCAAGGACCAAAGAGAAGGGAAGGAGGTGTATTTCCATGTTCTGCTGTTTTTCTTGATCTTTTGAGGGGGGTGGGGCAGCACTGAAGGGCAAATGCCCCCTTCCCGACACCCCCATTTTCTTACAGAGGATTCATCAGACAGTGTGGCCATAAAGAGGAGTACATGATCAGATCAAGGAACCACCCAGGTCTGAGAGAAGCTTTGTCCAGGTAGCTGTGGAGGTGGGCAGTTGAGGGCATTTCTGACTTGATAAGGCAGGACAGGAGGAGGCACACTTTCCCAATAAAACTGTATCCTCTAGACCTGAGCCACGGCCCGTGACGTGGACATTGGACATTACAGTGAAGACAAGATCTTGTATAGAGCAGATGTCAGGAACAGAGCTAGAGGGGGTCAGGTGGATTCTCCAGCATTAGATGGAGCCCTGCAAGAGGCTGGGGTGAAGCCTCTCCATTCTCATAGGTGAGTGAGGGAAGCTGTCTCCCCACAGCAGGTAACCATGAGGTCAGTATGAGCAAGGAGCACTCTTTATGTCGACCTAGTATATCCGGATACTTTGAGAGAATTACGCATATCTCTACAGAGTGCGACGGCCCAAGCTCTGTGAATGCTAGAATTCGGTGGCCCCACTTTGATAACAAGTTGCACCTGAAAAAGCAGGTCCTCAGAGTCCCAATGAGAAGATGCTTCTACATTTTCTCGTCTCATCCTCCCACCTGCCCTTTAAGAGTTCTAACTTTTCTAGTGGCTTGGAGGTCTGAGGGTATTCATACGATGGATGTCATAGCATAGAGTCTAGGTCGATGAGATAAGGCTGGTGGTGACCTCTTTAATTTTGATTTATTTCAACCAGCTGATGCAGCACAGGCATTTTGGAGGGCTAAATTCCAACCCTGGTGTGAAGTGTCTGGAGAACATCTGTTGTGTACCTTCCCCACTTTTCCACCTACTATTCAACTTCTAGCCCAGCACTGAAGCATATAAGAGTAGAGAATTCAGACACACCCATGGATGTGTGCTCTGGGGGCAGGGGTAAGTCAGGAAACTTATAGAAAAAGAGTTTTTAGGCAATGACATAATGACAAACATGGGTATTGTAAATCCCTCTTTAGAGAAGTTTTCAAGAAAGGATGCGGAATTCTTCCGGGTGGTCAGTGCCACTAAGATTTTAAGGTGCAAATTTCAGTTTAATTTTATTAAGAAGGTCCTTTGACCCTATCCCTCCCCCTCTCATTCTTTTCCATTTCCCACCCCTTGTCTGTTCTTGCCCTTGTGATGATTACATAAAAAGCCAGCACTCCCTTCCTTTCCTTGTTCCTTCAACATGGAAGAAAGAGATTTCTGTCTGGTTCTTGCTGAACCTCTGGAATTTATTTTTGATCCCTGTTAATATAAGTGGAAATAATGTTGTGTGTGTACCACCTGAACATGTGCTTTACACTCTGGATCCTCATGACTCATATTAACATTGAGAAAATACAGGAGAACTTCGCGTCTCTGAAACTTTGCCTAAACGATTTTACTTCGGTTAAGTGCGTACGATTTCACACACATGAGGCTATGCAGTGCTTTTGCATGCAGACTTGGCCATGATTCTGAGGATGGGACTGAGAGGAGGCTAATGGGAAAAAGCTTAAACACGTGTCGGTCACACTGTTTAAGCGTCGCCTCGTGCATTTGTCTTGTGCTGCCTTCTCAAGGTGGTACTGCTGTGGCCATTGCTGCCGTGGGTTTGTTATATGTGTTACATCTCTCTGTGTGTCTGCAGCGTGCTGATGTTTTACTCTCCCTGCTCTCTCTCTCTCTCTCTCGCCGCCTCCATGGTGGACACCATGCTTCCTCTACTTAATTGGACCTTCATTTCTGTAGGTAGAAGTAAAGGTAGAGATCATTTTGTTTTTATCGTTGTAACTGTCAATTTGCCTTTTGAAATATTCATATACCCACGGGAAATTGTTGATTCTGATGAATACAGTCCAGATTATAATGGTGTTTTTAACAACAACTACAAAAAAAAAAAAAAGAAATCCAGGGCTCCTTTTCCTTCAAAGCATTTCATGATTGATGGTTGGGGATTGCTCTGAGCTGGCCTGCCTTCCTCTAAATCCAGAATGAGCCATCCCATCATAATGTGCTGTTTCTATCTGCTTCTGCTTGTGCACTGTGGGGAAGATATATTTTCTTAACTCAGAGTATTCTAAGATCCCTCCAGTAAATGTATTGAGGGCACAGGGAAGATGCGAAATGACCTGCCAATGTTTTCATGACCTGGGAATAACTGAATTCAGGGTGATAGATGAGAATGGGGAGAGGATTGGTGAATGACTGGAAATTGTGTAAAATTTGAAATTTGGGGAATATCTGTGGCTCTTTTATCTCCTGTATTTTGGGGGGAATGAAAGTTTTCCGACTGGGTGTGATGAGCTCAGAATGGCGGGACTAGGGGTGTGGAAGAACACAGGAATCCATTGACAGTGGATCCAGTGATAATCCATGACGTCATGAGGAGAAAGTGGAGAGACAACGCTGGATTTTAACTTAGCAACTCCACCTTTTGCGGGGTGAGCTGGGAAAGGGAGGGGTGCTAAGTCGGTGTACTTACTCCAATGCTCTGACATGACTTTCACTGCTTCACACCTTTGGGTACCACAGTTCACTCGTCCACTCCTAATCAAAGCTGTCAGAGACCTGAGTCCAGAGAACCCAGCTCACCAGCTCAAATTGGATTAGCTGCTCAGAACTGAAGGGAGAGGCTAATTGATAAATTATAAATATGTATTTGCATTCAGTTCTCCTCTTTCCCTTCCTGACTCTCTAGCCCCTATCTCTCTGCAGGCATGCACCGCTGCTTCCTGTAAAGATTGGCAAATAACAGAAGTAGGGGATGTGAGTTCCAGCGTGAGGATGTTGCAGAAAGATGGGGCTGATAAGATACTGAAAATGTTAATTTGATGACTAGGCTGTGAACTGGCCATCTCTCATTTGAATTTCATGCCTCACTGGATTTTTTTAAAAGTTATGTACAGTTACCTTGGAAGCAGTTCAGTCCTTTTGTTTTGGGGTTGGTTGATTGCCTATTTCTTTTCTGCTAATCACACGTGGATTTAGTCTCAGAAATCTGCTCTGGGGAACCCTACCCTCTTTTGAGCTTAAGGAGGTGGGAAAGGGGGACAAGGAAGAGGAATAATGATTGAAAGGTTATATCTAGCCACCCCCTCCGCTTCTCTACTCACTATACTCAGCCAGAGTCTTCTAGTGATCTCTGCACAGGCAAAGTGACCACTCTGTGCCCAGGACACAACCTTTGTGAAGCATGTCCTGACTCTCTCTCTCTCTCTCTCGCCGCCTCCATGGTGGACACCATGCTTCCTCTACTTAATTGGACCTTCATTTCTGTAGGTAGAAGTAAAGGTAGAGATCATTTTGTTTTTATCGTTGTAACTGTCAATTTGCCTTTTGAAATATTCATATACCCACGGGAAATTGTTGATTCTGATGAATACAGTCCAGATTATAATGGTGTTTTTAACAACAACTACAAAAAAAAAAAAAAGAAATCCAGGGCTCCTTTTCCTTCAAAGCATTTCATGATTGATGGTTGGGGATTGCTCTGAGCTGGCCTGCCTTCCTCTAAATCCAGAATGAGCCATCCCATCATAATGTGCTGTTTCTATCTGCTTCTGCTTGTGCACTGTGGGGAAGATATATTTTCTTAACTCAGAGTATTCTAAGATCCCTCCAGTAAATGTATTGAGGGCACAGGGAAGATGCGAAATGACCTGCCAATGTTTTCATGACCTGGGAATAACTGAATTCAGGGTGATAGATGAGAATGGGGAGAGGATTGGTGAATGACTGGAAATTGTGTAAAATTTGAAATTTGGGGAATATCTGTGGCTCTTTTATCTCCTGTATTTTGGGGGGAATGAAAGTTTTCCGACTGGGTGTGATGAGCTCAGAATGGCGGGACTAGGGGTGTGGAAGAACACAGGAATCCATTGACAGTGGATCCAGTGATAATCCATGACGTCATGAGGAGAAAGTGGAGAGACAACGCTGGATTTTAACTTAGCAACTCCACCTTTTGCGGGGTGAGCTGGGAAAGGGAGGGGTGCTAAGTCGGTGTACTTACTCCAATGCTCTGACATGACTTTCACTGCTTCACACCTTTGGGTACCACAGTTCACTCGTCCACTCCTAATCAAAGCTGTCAGAGACCTGAGTCCAGAGAACCCAGCTCACCAGCTCAAATTGGATTAGCTGCTCAGAACTGAAGGGAGAGGCTAATTGATAAATTATAAATATGTATTTGCATTCAGTTCTCCTCTTTCCCTTCCTGACTCTCTAGCCCCTATCTCTCTGCAGGCATGCACCGCTGCTTCCTGTAAAGATTGGCAAATAACAGAAGTAGGGAATGTGAGTTCCGGCGTGAGGATGTTGCAGAAAGATGGGGCTGATAAGATACTGAAAATGTTAATTTGATGACTAGGCTGTGAACTGGCCATCTCTCATTTGAATTTCATGCCTCACTGGATTTTTTTAAAAGTTATGTACAGTTACCTTGGAAGCAGTTCAGTCCTTTTGTTTTGGGGTTGGTTGATTGCCTATTTCTTTTCTGCTAATCACACGTGGATTTAGTCTCAGAAATCTGCTCTGGGGAACCCTACCCTCTTTTGAGCTTAAGGAGGTGGGAAAGGGGGACAAGGAAGAGGAATAATGATTGAAAGGTTATATCTAGCCACCCCCTCCGCTTCTCTACTCACTATACTCAGCCAGAGTCTTCTAGTGATCTCTGCACAGGCAAAGTGACCACTCTGTGCCCAGGACACAACCTTTGTGAAGCATGTCCTGCGTCACCTGCCCCTCCTCCCACTGGCCTCTAGGAGAATACATTAGGGTCAGCTGTCTCCCCCAACCCATGCACCGCTCTCCTTTTCTTTCCCTAATCGCCTAAAACAGGGGTCCCCAACCTCTGGGACCTAATGCCTGATGACCTAAGGCAGAGCTGATGTAATAATAATAGAAATAAAGTGCAAGATAAATGTAATACACTTGGATTATCCCAAACCATCCCCCCACTCCACCCCGTGCAGTCTGTGGAAGCATTGTCTTCCATGAAACCTGCCCCTGGTGCCCAAAAGGTTGGGGAATACTGACCTAAAACATCCCATGAGACAGATGTCTATACTGTTTTTAAATTTTGCACATGGATATTGCACATGGATTGAAGGTGGGAGGAGAAGGGGGTGACAGAGGATGAGATGGTTGGATGGCATCACCGACTCAACAGACATGAGTTTGAGTAAGCTTCGGGAGTTGGTGATGGACAGGGAGGCCTGTGTGCTGCAGTCCATGAGGTTGCAAAGACTCGGACAGGACTGAGTGACTGAATTGAACTGATCTTTCTCTGGCCGCTGCTGCTAGCACTGATCATTTCCTGTGTGCCAGCCATTGTGCCACGAGCTTTAGACACCTTGCCACCGTAAATCCTCGCAACTGTCTTATGAGGTAGATGATGGTTATCTTAGCTATATGGGCAAGTAGAACAAGGCTCAGAGAACTAAATAACTTAAGTCAGATGGCTGTAAGTGGCAATGAAACTCAGAATCTGAGTACCTAGCCACTGCTTTATATGGCTTCTTTTTGATCCAAGGATGACCTCCACAGACTTGCCTCTCAACTACCTCCCTGGCACCAGCCTGGCTTATGTTCCAACTGGCCACTTTGTGTTCATTCTTCATAACATGTGTCCACAGAAATGTTCTGTCACCTCAATATTTCAAGTCAACCTTGGCACCATCTGGCCACAAACCAGATTCCCTAATTTTGTTAATGGTTTCCCCATCTTCCTTATCACCTGGGCTTGAAATCAGCAATAGCTTTTTTTTTTCCCCATCTTGAACTTTCCTATTTCCAGCTGATGTTAAGAGAGCTTGTTGAGATTCTTTTTTAGCATGTCTCTTGCATCTCTATTTGACACACTAGTTCGGTTCCCAGTTAGCCCTTATTGGATTGTTGCCATAACCTAATTAATCTTTGTTCTACCCCAGTCTGTCCAGTAACTGAGAACTGCTTAAGTTCTGCTGTCCTCCATATGGAGTTCAGGATTAACTCTCTCACTTTCAAAGTCGTCCCTAATATGGCCTTGTTTACCTTTAACCTGCTAATCTTTGATGCAAAATTGTTGCCAAATATAGTGAACCAAGTAATCATACTGGACCTTTCCTTGTCTCTTAGTTTTATTTATTTTTTCCTCTCTTCTATAAGAGCTCCTCCTCTCCTGTTTCTGCTCATTGAAATCACACGTAGATTTTATTTCCAGTTGATGTTACGAATGTCCTGTATACTTAGATTTGCTAAGCTCTGTTTAGATATGAGCTCTCCTTCCACATATCTAATATCTTATACTAAACTTATTTGGAAATTGGACTCCTCCATTTAACTAGATCGCAAGTATGTTGAAGACAAACATATTCATTTTTTAATGTCCAGATGGGTCCAGCCTAGGAGGTTATACTGTGAACAGACTCAAAATCTCTAATCCCTGTTATCCTGCTGTCAGTCATCTTCCTAAAAGTGAAAATAAAGCAAAATTAAAATTAAATCGGATCATGTAGCTCATCTCCTCAGAAGCTTTTGGTGGATTCTTGTTGTATAATTGTCAACGTGCCTTCCCAGCTTTATTTTCTGCAATAACATAGCCTGCTCTGCACTCCCACCCCCACCAGGCCCCCAGTCTCCTAAAGTCAACAGCTCACTCTGCCTGAATCCACACTACGGTTTCCGGCCTCAGGCTTTCAGTCAAGCTCTGGTCTCTTTCCTGAATGGCCTCGGATCACCCTTCTCTCCCTTATCTCCCTTTAAAGCTCAAGCTTCCGAGG